TTTGTTTTGGTTTACCGATTTTATTTGTGTTTTTACACAATCATCGMACACCGTCGGCTCGTATTGAGTTCATGACGATGTTGTCATTTTATGACTGCTTAGGGTCGCCGTATACCCTAAAAGGGACCACAAAACACAGTTGGTAGGAATTCTTGTCATGATCACCCTAAGCGGGACMAAAATACTGATTTCAAACCCTAAAAGGGACGCCGAGGACCCCCGCCTTTTGATATTAGGGAGTCTTCCCCCGGGCGTCGGGGGCGTGCTGGTTGATTGTCTTTGTTGTATATTAGTGTTGCAGAGTGTCCGCTGGCTTTCAGAGCWGTTTCGTAGWTTGGTTTGGCCTTGTTAAATTCGTGTTCGTTGCATGAGTTGTCGGAGATGCGGCGGTTGATGGATGCTGGAAGTTGTTTTAATATGTTAGGCGGGTGGTTAGACTTTGTGTTGATGTACAGTGGCTCGTTGTTCGGCTTTCTGTAGGGGCAGTAGGTACCTTTTGTTAGGTCGAAAGTGACGTCCAGGTAGTTAACAATTTTTCAAGTTAGTTTGTATGGTGATGTTAAGTCCATGTGTCTTGAAGCGTCTTGTGATGTCTTTTCTGGTGCGTTCAGCTTGTGGTCCGGAGATGTTTCTGAAGATGGCAAGTCCGTCGTCTCTGTAAAGTCCGATGTTGTCTTTCCCGTATGTGTTACATAGGTCGTTGAGGATRAATAAGCCTACAAGCTCGCATATTTCGGCTCCGTCCTAGCTGCCCATAGTGACATCAAATGAGCTGTTGTTTTTCTTAATCCAGGCAGTGTTACTGTTGAAGAGGAGRGATTTCCGTGAATGCATGATAATGTCAACGTCTCGGTCCGTATAATGGTAGTGAATTGTTTGTCAAGGTTCAATCAAAAGTAATCGCTCTTGATCCTCGACAGAAGCTTTATCAAAATTATTTGCTCTTGATTCTCGATCTACAAGACTCATTCGTAAGTTTCCGCTCAAACTCAAAAGTCCACTCGTATAAAGATGTCGCTCAGAATATCTCTCGTAAAGTTTGGGGGATTTTTCATGGCCCAAACTGCAAAAATGAATMAGTAGTTTCATCTCCTTGAATGTTGTAAACTCGTGGGGAAATCGCCGAACGCTCAGATAAAACGCGGAAAAAATTGTGCTTGCATTTTATAATCGGGAGGTTTTTTATGCCCCAAATAGCAAATATTTTCAGTAGTCTCATCTCCTTGAACGACCACCCTCATTTACCATGTAGTTTTATCAGTGGGAGCAAAGTTGTCCCATTCGATGTAAGTGTGGAGAAATTGGCGAGCGCTCGTTAAAAACCTAACGTGGAAAAAACTTCCCTTGTATTTTATAACCGTGCCGGCCGAGGCCTGGACACGGTAATTAATCCCAGGTTCTTAGAGAGGAGGCTGGTCAGAGTCGGTCAGGGCTATAACTCAGTGTTATCCAAAAGTAGTTCTCCCTTTTTCAACTTGGCACAGCGATCGTTGCACGGGGATTATTAGACATATCAATAGAAAGCAATGAAAATAATATTCTGATTTCTATAAACACGGGAGAGTGCCCAGCGTCCTGCAACTCAGCAGGGATTCCCTTTTGACACCAACATATACACGAAAAACATCAAACACATATAGGCAAAAAATGTTGATCTGAAAGATAATGTTAGTTYTGTAATACCTAAGGATTTGAAAAGACATACATGCAATCAATGTCAGTGTGTGTGTGATAAGATAATACTGCATAGATTTATCATCAGGCGTYACCTCCAGGAAGAATTTAAAGTGTTCAGCTATGAGAGTAAAATCACGTCAGTTTACCTTWTAGTGTTCAGTTATAAATACTGATCTACGCAAGGTACGGCCTAAAATCACAGACGAAAGGGAAAAACATATCCTGATTCTGTTTCCGTGACTCCTGAATAAATTGTTTACATTTCGAAATGTCAACGATAAAGGAGCTGAGCATCATCATTATCGCTCAGTGTTTCAAAGGAAGTACAAACTATAGTATTTTCCAAGAATGATGGAATAACGAAATCGAAGGACGTGCACTGATATGCGTGATATAGCTGGTATTGTAAAGCATGATTTGTTGTTTACTGAGCTGAGAGACTGTCAAGTATTGTCGACAATACCAAACAAACAGTCCTGCACGCAACGCTGTCAAGTATTGTCGACAATACCAAACAAACAGTCCTACACGCAACGCTGTTACCATGCTAAATGTGACTGGCAGCTACTGGCTAGACACGCGTGTATTCGAGATACACACTCGTGGATTTTACTTAAG